CATGCAGCTGCTAAGGATTAGCCGCAGAGTTATTCTGTGTTAAATCTATGCCGTAGGTACTTTGTAACTACAAATCCCTCTGAAACCCAACAATGTAACCTATGCTGTAAACTGATGTGCGCCTCTGTAGAAGTGTAGCTACACATCACATCGAGAGCCCGCAACCTTCCGCCTCTTAAGTCAGAAGTCATTAACTATTTCCAGATCCAAACACTTCTTCACTTCCCAAACTCAAACAAACACCGTGGTATCACTGAGAGTTCAAAATGACCCAGATTATCTCATCTTCAATAAAATGAAACTTCAGATCAAACACAACACAAAAGCATGAATGTTGGTAACGGCAACATTTATTTATCTTCGTTATATTTGTAGACTGGACAAAGATTCACCACAGAAATATAAATCCAGTTCATCCTATAACCGTGTGCCTCATTCACAGTGTGTCGTGGAGTTTAACTCAGAAATGGCTGCCTGGACCTTCCTCGTTCAAATGTCTAATATAATAATATTAATATATAAATGTATTTAAAAATTAATTAATACCTAAATACCTACCACACACTATGCTTGGCTTATATATTTACTGAGGTCTTTATTTGTTAAATAATCAATTATTTCCTTATTTTTGTTAAAGTATCTTGAAAAGAGCCACAAGAGTTATTAGTAAGAAAGATTATAGCTCTGCACCAGTGTAAAACAGAGCCTCCATTAATCTCATCAGCAACAACCACTATTTTAAATAATAAAGTCTACAGTAGTGTATATTACAGCATCTTCAAAACCATCCACTGCTATTTAAACAAGTGAAACAAACTTGGTACTTGAAGTTTTACGTTACAATGTGTGAGAGCTACAGCCCACTGTTAAGCAGTGCACAAATCATACACAGTGAGAAGCTGCCTCAAATCATCGGAAACACCTTCAACCTTCACATCCTGCCCTGACTTTTAAATCCAAAATATGTGAGAATTTTTCCATTTTGCTACTTAATGTCAGATCAAAGACAGAAAGTAGAGCACAAGCCTTTGTAGCCTTGTGAAAATAGAAATGAATGCCTGAATGTTTTCATCTGCACACAGAGACCAAAACGTGCTGATACCTGCTTTACTTTTGATATATCAGTAAGCATTAGGCATCAAGAAACATTGCTGGTGGTGTTTCAGTGCTTTATCTATACCATATAAACCCAGCCGGGATTACAACCACATCCAAACATGCTGGTCTCAGTTACAAATGTCCTGCCAGGAATCACCGCAAGAACCAGTGTTCAAAGTATGTTCTGATATTTCACCATACACACATAAACACTTGCCGGCCATCAGAGCATGTGTTAACGCGCGTGTAACTTTCTCCGCCTCGGATCAAATACGCACCAATTAAACCAATATACACACACACGCATACACGTGCAGGTTTAGATGGCACCACAGTGTGCCCTGACTGTATTCTGTAGCTTTTACGACTTACCTCAGACCTTGACCTGATAATGACTTCATACTTATATTACACCTGAACCCCAAGGATAGTCACACACATTTCATTTTGTGCATCTCGTCTAAATTTAAGCATTAAACTACACTGACAAAAACATCTGAAAGTGTATATTTCAAAAACACACTCATACACACACTCCGAGTCTGACCTGTGACAATGCCATAGTTGGGAGATTCCAGCACGGCTCCATAAAACTGAATGATGTTCTTATGACTCAGTACACTGAGAATCTCAGCCTGGATGAGGGGTCAAGAAAAAGAGAAGCAGAGAAGTATGATCACCTTCATTAACTTAAGTTTTACAGTAGAGGACTCTTTTAATCTTTTAATAACTCTTTTAATAATCATTAATCACAGAATGTTAGGCTAACTTAAATGTTAAAACCAATTTTAAAGTTAATCCTGATTGCGTCTCCGGGATTCCTGAGCTTATTCCATTCCACAAGTTATCCAAACAAAAACTCTCCACCCTGCAGCAGTAAACAGGCCATAAATCTGAAATAACATCTCAATCATCATCTTTGCATGTGTGGAATATGTAACTTTTGCCAAGCAACATAATAAGCTAACAGTGAAATGGATTTACACATAAACTCCAATCGAGCATTGAGCAAAATATTTTCTCTCTAAATATTTTTTTTTTCCAAAGAGAAATTCATCATTCTGGGTTTACTCTCATCTATTGTTGTAAGGCTATCAGTTTGTGCAGGAAAACGATGCATGAAGGCTCCACATGAAGCTGCACTTCTCACATTATCCATCAACTTGTATTTACACATGAACTATGCAGACAGCTTTATGCATGCATGCCCACCCTCTGTGTATTTTTGTGTGTCAGAGAAGTCGCTCAACCGACAAAATTTCTTCCCTGTGTAATCTTATGAAGTTGGCCCACTTGTGACACCACCTTTCATTTCTCTATAATGCATGTGTGCACTTGCTTTTGTATTATATAAAATCTGACACTGTGAATGAATACACCCACAGGCCCCAACTTCAGCTTCCTGACACAGACCCATTAGCCTTTACCAGCACGGGATCATTAACATGGAAGGAAATCATGCAGCCCGCCTCATACTCGTGGAGACTCACACCCAGGCCTGAACTGAAGTGAATTAAGCCTCGAGGTACTACTCACCTCACCCTAACATACAATGGGAGGAACAGGGGAGTCCAGGCATAAATAAAACTGCTATATCTACAAAGAGTGGGAGGAGGAGGAGGGGGCATGAGAAGCGGTATGTTTAAGATAAACACATGTACAATGGCAGACAACAAGGGAGGGGGAGGTGGGGGAATGAGGGGGCTTTGGATCCAAATCTGGGTATTGAGTGGAAAGTAACCGTTTTTGAAGTTTTGAGCAGTAACGTCCCACGAAGGAGAGGAAATACCTAATGACTACTGTACATTATGTGTGATTGGTCTACGTCTGTGCGTGTCTCCACTTTACCTCTTTGTCGATCTTCAGAAGCTTCTTCACAGCCACTTCCTTGTCCTGGGATATCCAGAGAGCTCTGTAGACGCTCCCAAAGCTGCCTCCACCACAGTTCTCGTAGAAGAGCAAGTCCTCATGCTTTATCTGCACAAACGACGAGCCAGGGGACGACATGGCATACTGACTGACTCCCGCGCACTCAAACACACACACACGCGCGCGCAGCAATAAAGTGTGACTGCCCAACTACCTAACCGCTATCCCGAAGGTATACAAGTCACGGATGAGCTGAGAGCAAGTGAAGGAGAACAACACAAAAGAGAAGGGAAGTAGTTTCCTCCACAGGGCCAGAGTGGATGTTGTCGGTCAGCAGAGCAGATTGTCAGGGAGAAGAAACCAGAAAGTGCTGGAAAGAGAGAGCGAGAGAGAGAGAAGTTTGCTCCCTGTGAGTGAGGAAAAGTCAACTGTCACTACCAGACAAGGTATTACATTGCCTGATAGTGGTGATCCAGTGTAACTACAACACAGAGCACACAAACACACACACACACACACACACACATACACAAGCTTGAAGATGAGGGAGAAGTGAGCGTTGACTGTGTGCAAGTTACGGTTTGCAGTCAGTGTGTGCCGTCTGTCTGCAGCAGACACACAGTTCAAATATGGTCATTGGCATCCCGGGCATTCCTTCTTCCTGGATAACTGTGGCTATATAAAGCGCTCAATGCACACACACATATAGCTCTGGCTTATAAGCGCGTCTGACATAGTGTAAATCATTTAGCAACAAGGTTGTTGCTGCCACATATGCACCTAAATCTATCCGCTCACACTCTCTGCAGTTAAAAACACACACTCACCAGAGAAGCCAGGCAAGGCCGGCGTGTTACTCAACCAGACAGGAATGACCCACTGACATCAACAAGCAGGATAGCTGTGCTGACATCACCGTGCAGGGACAGGTGAGATCAGCCATGGGAAGTTAGGGACACTTGTCACTTGTTGACTGTAATCGAGTACAAATGTGGACTTCGTGGTGATTCACTGAATAAATAAAACACGACAAACACTGCCAGCGGCTCTTAGAAGCCGTAGTGAATCATGACAACATGTAGTACAAATGCACTGTATAAAATAAACAACATCCCGAGAGACCGGCTGCTTAAAGAGATACAAATTTACAGCTAAAAATTAGTTTACAAATACAGATGGCGAATGGAAATTGTGATGCAAATGTTATTCGCCGCCATGCAGTTTCAGTGTAGAAACTTAAAGACACAGTATTTCATTGGAGTTCATTTTTGGATGAAAGGTTGGTGAATATAAAAAGTCTGGGATCCATAAGAATCCCTGTCACTGCTCATTCAATACTGTGCTCAGCGCTGCTTGTTTTCTGTTTCTAATATTCAGAAATGACCCATTCAAGGGGAAACGTTTAAAGCTATAACCCACTGTACACAGGCCTCAACAGAATTTACAGCAATGACATTCAAAAAGACAAAGTCCTGCAACATCCCGGTGTCAGAGTACCCTCCTGTCTGGCAACTCAGTTTGCAGTTTTAGTGTAGAGAAAAGCTCAGTGGTACAAATCAAAATGCACTGGCCTGGCAATAACATTGTCCTCTATCCTACAAGTGTTGCAAGTGTTTTGACCTCTTCACCTTTTCCTCTCCTCTATCATTCCTAGGAAGTGGATGAAATCTCCACTCTTTACACTACAGTTTATCTCATTTGTAGTATTCCTAGGATCAGCTCTTTTCAAGTCCAGACAACACTGAGCAGTTCCCACTCTAGTGCCTCCCACTTCCTGTCTTTCACAGAGGTCACATGTAAGCAAATGCCAGTCTTTGTCACATTTTAGTTTTTCAGGCCTCATGTGTTGCCGTACCTGCCTTCAGACGTCAACTGAAGTCAAAAAGCTCGGCGGCGGGCTTCTCCAGTGGCGGCTGAAATATTTTTGATTTTTCCTGGATATTCTTTGCACAACAGATTTTCCAACGTCATCCCTTCAGCTCCACCACACGCACTGAAATATCACAGTCTCAAGAAGGTTACCAAACCATTAGAACTGTTAAATTAGCTATTTTTATTTACAAGGCAGACTACACAGAGTACAGTTAGAGGCTGCTTTGGGAAAAGGCAGCCTCGCTGCAGTTCTCAACACACACCAGCACAGCAAAAGCTCCTGAGATCAAAGCAAAATTAATGACACTTGTAAAGAACGCACTCAAAATCTACATGCACATATACAAAAATAAAATTACATGGATTGAACACAACTGGTAGAGATGACAAGATTTTCCCCTCAAAGTGTAAGTTAGACTCTGTAGCTGCAGTCAGTCCAAATCTAAGACATTGCAACTGACAGCAGAACATATCCGGGATGGTTTATACGCTTGGCTGCACCCTAATTCCAAATAAAACTCACAATAAATACTACAGTGACCCATTTGAACACTGCCGGTAATACCATTAAGGATTTAATCTGACTAATACTCTGTTAAGTAGGTTTAAAGTGTCTAACTAATTAATGGACACTGATATTTACCTAAAGGACATCAAATCCTACAGATTTTCAAAGGTCCTTATAGACTTATTTAGATTATAAAGTAAGTATGCTCTTTGAGATTTAATATTGACCAGGGTAAACAAAGAGTCTCGATCACTACAATTTGTGGGGTTTCCTGTTTTGCGTCTATGAGTGGGATCATCAGGATAGAACGATTTGCTCTACAGGCAGGTACAGTACTTTATTGTAAACTAGGGCTCATTTGGGGTAGCACGACATTACAGGACACTCTGATAGAAATCCACTGTATAGAACACAAGGTCTACGAATTTCAGTCATGCAGGATATTGATTCAAGTTCTATACATTACAGTTCTATCTAACAGGTCCCAAACAGTAATAATTAGTACGATATGAACCCTCAGCCTGTTGACTGAGACACAGCGACAAGAGAGCAGCTGAACAGCTTCTGTTTGTCCAGGGAGAAGAGGCTTTTCACGGCACAGTCCTTAATAGTCCATAATAACACTAAAGTCACTGAATGCTGCGATTTGCTACTGTTGTGTTGATTTATTTTATATCGTTTTTTTTTATGCTAACATCACAGAGAAGGCGTCGTGGTGGAGGATCTGGAGCTCATGTCCGCCGAGGCTCCAGCCGGTAGGAGAGCTGCGTCAGCGCCCTCTGGTTGTCAATCACGCAGAGCTTCCTAACGTAAGCCCGGACCTCCGCTTGATTCTTGTTCGGCTGGCAAATGTCAGGATCTAACATTAGGCAGAGATAAAGCAGACAAAAAAAATTTGACGGGAAAGATTGTTTACAGTCTGTCTGCAAGGCCAACAGATTAGAGGATAAAAGTGTGCTCATGAATAATAAGCAGACTTACTGAATGGCTGGCTTCTACAGTGTCTCACTTGTCGAATTGTGTTTGCTATAATACGCTGATGGAACAAACAGAAAACGGCTTTAGATACTGTGCAAACATGAATGAAGAACAACAAGGCACTGAGAAAACTGCATGCATAAAACATGCTCTCTCTTCTTTCTGTGAAAAGGAACTCACCATTTTCTCAAAATTGACCATGTTGTCAATGAATGTCTTGTTGCCCTCATGTGTAAATGTCATATCTGTAAAGAAATAGGTTAAAATGAAGCACAACCCAAATCGTCCATCTTCAAGTACTTCCTAAAGCCCTGTAAAGCCCTGTACTGAGTCATACCTTTTAGAAGAAGTGGCACAAAGGGGATAATCGGTGGTTCCAGTTTGGTAACAGTAAGTCGGTAGGACCGGTGGTTCCTTGATGGGTCCTATTGCCAAACAAGTTTCTGGTGTTAGATACATTTATAGATCAAGTTTTTTTCTTTAAAACACATACTGTTATGCCACCAGCCACTTATTAGGTATGCCTTTTAACTGCCCATTGAAGCAAATATCTGATTGGTCAATCACATGGCAGCAACTTCATGCATTTAGGCATGATAACATGGTCAAGACCACTTGCTGAAATTGAAACCAAGAATCAGAATGAGGAAGAAGGGTTATTTAAGTGATATAGTACTATAGTTGATGGTGCCATACAGGCTGAGTATTTCACAAACTGCACAAACTTCCTTCTAGGACTTCTAGGATGCTAGTCAGAATTCAGCATAAAAAACATAAAATCATGAATCCTTCCTACTTTATATCAGCGGTTCGGGCTGTTGGTGGTGATGTAAGGTGTGCAAGATATTTACTTTGGGCTCCGTAACACCAACTGAGTATCATTTAAATGTCACAGCATACATGAATACTGTTTCTGACAATGTATATCCTTTTATGACCACTTAAAGGGATGACTGCTTCCAGCAGGGATACCAAATCACATCAGAAAGGTCAAATGATGAAACTGGAAAAATGATTTCCAGATTCCCCAGATCTCAGTGCAATGGAGCACCTTTGGGATGTGGTGGATGGGGAGATTCACAACATGGATGTGAAGCGTACAAATCTTCTGTGTGTTGCTGTCATATCAACATGGACCCAAATCTCTGAGGAATGTTTTCAGCATCTTGTTGAATCTGTGGCAAAAAGAATGAAAGCCTTTCTGAAGGCAAAAGGTTGTCCAACCTGGTATTAGTAAGGTGTACCTAATGAAATGGCTGGTGAGTGAACAGCCATGCAGTTGATTTTCCCTCCATTATTTTGTGCATCTGTCACCAAGACAACAGGTTTGAACCTAATTTTGTTTGTAATACTCATCACTGAAAACCAGATACATTTACAAAGAAAAAAAATATTTCCAGAAGAAGGATCTGTTTTACTCTGAGGAGACAGCAGACTTATACAACCAAAGCGGCAGTATTAGCATGGTTGAATACAACTAAAAGTTTATCCATAATGAATTTCAAAAGACTTGAAAATGAAACTCACCATCATGTTCTCAAACTCAGCATAGAACTTCTTAAACTTGGTGGGAAGTTTCTGTCAGGAAAAGCAGATGGCATCTCAGTGAATCGAGGATTTAAGCAACAGCAACATGCAGATCTGGTTCACAGCATAACTGTCCACAGATTATTAAAAAAAATAAAGTTTACCTCCCACGTCTGGCTCAGTCTGCTCACAGCAGGGTTGCTCATCCCCATGATGATGGCAAAGAATGAATTGAGGTTCTTAAATTCTCGACAGCTGCAGACAGACACACACAAGCAGAAACCAAAGTGAAAACCAACAACACCCAGCTCAGCTTCCTCTACTGTTAGCTAGAAATACTTCACTTAGTGATGTGCGTCCCATTAACAGTCACATCCTACTCACTGTGCCGCTATCTTGATGAACTTCTTGAGGAGCTGGACTCTCTTGCTGAGCTGTCCGCAGAGGCAGACTTCAGTGACGACCCACAGCTGGACCTGGTTGAACCTCCTCAGGAACAAGTCTAGATTAGCCGTAGTTCGTTTAAAACTTTGGCAGCCAAACGTGTGGTAGAGCAGCTCGTGCTGTGGAAGAAGACAGGGGAAACAAGAAGAAGAGCAGGTTGAGAGGTGAGAGATCCTGCCGGTTTAACAACAGTCTGTGAAAAAACAAAACTGCTGAAAATGAATTGACTCTGACTCTAAAACAAAAGTCTTTGCAACACTTAATGTGGACAAAGGTGAGCAGGATACCTCATGAACACAGCTGAAGAGCTCCCAGTCAAACATCGTCATTTGATAAGCCAAGTCCTTGGAGCTCATCAGCTCAAAAGTTGACATGGAGCCTGCAGTGGGCCCTTCCTGGTCTGGAAGAGGAGTCTTGAAGTGCACAAAAACAAAAACCAACACAGTTTCTTTGTTTTCCCTCAGCATATAAAACTAATATCTTCTTGCTTCGAGGCCACTTTTTACTAAATACTAAGTGTATTTCTCGTATCTTCTATATATATATTTGCAAAAAGATTTAATTCTAGGTGGTAATGCAGTTTAATAACAGCATAGTTCATAACATTACTCTCTTACTAGACTGTTGAGCTGCTCTCGAGGACAGGCAAATAATCTCCCATTGATGCTCAAAGTAGAAAACACCGATACATCATTTGGCTTCAAGATTTGTTTTTCTGTAACAAAAATCGGGACAGATTCGCTTTCACAGCCACATAAGACACTATCATGTGCAAATTCTTAAAAAGGTACACAAGATAATCTACGAGTAGATGATGCTGCAAGTTAATGCCTCTCCACGTTTAAGATGATCTGTTTTCTTACCACCCGCAGAGCTGAGGTGGACCAGCAGGAGCTCATCGGTAGTGCCGAGCTTGTCCGTCACGGCACTGATCACTTCTCGTCCCGTCGCCGCCACGGGAATCCTGATTGTAGTGTAGGTGTGATCGCTGCAGTACACCTTCAATAGGACTGCACACGCACACGTGAAATTAATACAGTGATATGGTATGTGACAGCTCCTGATCTGTGATGACAAAGAGCTGCTTCCAACATGAAGAAGCAGGAAGCTCACAAAGCTCACTGAAGGTTTTGCCTTTTTGTAGTCACAGACTGAATCATTCAAATATGAAAGCCGGCTCATTTCAATCAAATCAAAAGTTTATATTTTTTTAAAGTTAGCCCTTGGATCTCTGTTAGAGTGATGACTGGGGTCTTTCTCTGCCTCAGCCAGCTGTCACACACATGAATGACCGGAAAATAATCGTGTTGTGGATCTATGTTGCCAACCTATCCGTAAGATTTTGTCACACCTTTTGTGCAAACACAAGTGACAGGATGACAGGCAGGGTAAGGGAACATTCTTATCCAATCTGTCTTATGAAAATGGGAAAATCCACTTTAAATAGCACATTCCAAGGCAAACTGCTGTCAAAATGTCTTTTTCCTTCAGGTTCAATATGAGTAAGAAGAAAAATACATAAATCACACAAATGCACAGAACTTACTGTCATCTTGATTTCTAATTGGCTGTTTCTTCTGCAGCCTTTCCTCTCCGTTGCTGAACTGTCGTATTAGGGTCTTCTGTTGAATAAATTATATGACAGCATCCAGATAACTACAGATGAAGCCGACATGTGAAGTGGACTGTAAAATTTTATCGAAAGTTATATAACAGATGTACCTTTTTTGTTGCTTTGGCCTCTTCGGAGCTAAAGGAAAAAAATTAAAGTGATACAACGAATTTGTCGTGTGCATAAAGCAATGACAATAAATGTTCAGCCCACAGAAACATACTGCAATTTGACGACTTTCTCCAGGTCAGGTACCAAATCTTTCAAAGCTCTCAGCATACGGGAGTCATTGGATAGACTTCCATACAACTCCTACAGAGACAAAGAGGAAGAACCACTCAGACTATGCAGAGGATCTGTGTGATTTCCTACATTTGAAAGGCTCAATGTGCTCACCTCCAGGAAAAAGATCGCAGCAGGTTCCTCTTGTAGCAGGTAGGTATGTGCGTTTGCCCAGCGCAGGGTCATAATCAGGGCCCTCCTTTTACTGTTGAGTGCATACTCCAACCTCTCCTGTTCAGAGCCAGGCGGCGATGTCACATGGTATGTGCGCACAAGGTTAAAGGTAAATAGAAAAGCGTTGACCCATTAAAGTAAATAAACACAGGTATATGGATACCTACATCTATGTCTCTATTTATCCTCAATTAAAAATGTACCTTTCAAGCAGCTTTAGTTAAAATAAAGTGAGTTTTGAGATCATTCATTATGTTAAAAAAATAGAATAAAGCATGGGATGTATTGCGTTAACTGCACAGTGCTAAACTTACATTACAACAGCTTAGGGAAGAAATACCTGTGCAACTGGGATTACAACTTGTTACTAAGGTGTGAAGGGAACAGCTGCTCAACTGCTGCTTCAGCACTTCCACAAGCAGAAACTGATGTTTCACAATCTAAAAATGGCGCCGGAAGTGTTGTTACATTACGCAGCAAACCGTGAAGAAAACCAGGGTTATGCACCCGACATGAGACCTGTTTGTTTTTATTTTTTTGAAACGCAGTTTAGATACAGCAGGAAGGAAATAAGGAATTTAAAGACAAAAAGGATATTGTGACAGGAGCAGAGGGCACAGCTGGCTGTTGGGCATGAAGACACAGTGCATGAGGACAAAATCATCCACTGCTGGGTCTGACACACGAGAAGAAGCAGAGTCAGTAGCAAGAAACGAGCAGATATTTCATCTTTAATGCATTCATCCTGTCAAGAGATAGTACTAATCCAGAGTCTAACCCAGACTCATGTAAACCCCTGAAATTTGTTTTAATGCTGTTTTTCTGCAGCAAACCTTTTCAAACCACAGCAGAATATCCTATTTAATATCGTGTTTTACAGTAAAGAAAATACTGAATTATCAATTTCTTGTTTTAAAGTTCACATTAGTAACATTTTTTAATAAAAGACACTCTTCAATAATTCATAATTTATGCTATAGCTTATGAGTATCCTGCAATTTACTATCCTGACAGCATACGATCCCAAATTAATCTGATGATTCAGCTCTGCTACCTGGGTCACTGTGATGTATGTCCATCCTCATCGTCTCCAAGAAGTGCTCAAGAATCTTCTCTGGAGTTCCTGATATCACAGTGTACCTGCCAAGGTCACCAAGGATCACATAAAAACCCAAACATTTTTAATAAAATAGAGAGAAATACACATATACTGCAAACACAGTTTTAAAGTACTTTTAGGTACAGTGTGCATACACCCAAACACATACTTTATGTTTCCCAGTGTGGAGGCTCGAGGACTCTTTTCTAACACCAGCACAGGGTGATCGTGCTCTTTCAAACGCACCGTGTTAGCTTCCACATCCTGCGGAATAGAATAGTTCAAAATGAGTGCAGTACCATTCATCTGTCAGAGGAGGGAGACAAACATCACAGGGGCGGCGGCGTCATGAGCGATTAAAGCATTATGTGACATTATTGCTTTACACAGCTTCAGAGGATGATGCATATTTTCCCTCCCCTATTTTCAGATCCTGATAATACAGACACAGTTTTAAACAAAGGGTTACTATGTGAAATAAGTACACATGTGTACCACTGCCTTGCATCAGTTCTTTATTCATAGTCATTGGGAAGGAGGAAAGCAGATGCTGGCTTTAAAAACTAAATGTTTCCACCATTTTTTCTTCACTGATCTTCAATCAGATCAGGGATAACTGTCTGCCTACCCTGAGTATCCTGTTGAAGTCTTCCTTATCCACACGCAGGAAGTGACAGTTGTCCTCTCTCAGGACGATGGATGCAGCCCGAGGTGAATCTGTAACCAGGGCCAACTTTCCAAAGTCATCACCCTCGTGAAGTGTACACACCACACCCTGACACACACAGATGAACACACAACTTGCTCAGACACATGTTCAGTTTACAAGCTTAAGATCTGAAGAAAAATATCAGGAAGGACGAGTAACTTTCTGAATCATCTTTGTATTCTGTACATGCGTGATCAATCCACGTGCAGCGTATTTGCCTGTACACTGGTTGTGTGGTGTATGAGTACAATCCCCTAAGCCAGTTAATCACAGTGATGAGTCACGATGAGCTATGCACAGTTTGCCAAACTCACTGCTGGTGTTTCCCCAGACCTACAGGGAGCACAAAACGGCTCGGCTCTTTGCAGATCTGATGAGCTACATATTTTGCTCCATTACATTCAGACTGAATATCATCAAATGAAGCAGAAAACTAGAACAACGCTAAAGTATCAAACTAAAGAACATAAGCAGGTAGATGGATGGAAGCCTTTCAAGCGCACCCACACACCTTTCCATAGATAACCACATTAACGGAGCCCTTCAGGATGATGTACCATGATGTGCCTTCTTCTCCTTGGTTAAACACTGAAAGGTAATGAAAACAAACACATATTAGTCCTAGCACACACATTCTGTACACCTGAAGTTTTTCAAATTGTGAGGCATGTTTCTCCTCTTAGAGTCAGAACTCAAGTCACAAACACAATTGTTAAATCTAGACGTCCCTTTTAGAATATATAATTTTCTCTACATGGGTGTAGCACAGGGTGATGCTAATGGGTTAGCTATCATGAAGGTAGCTCTCTTTTTATGTGGTTAGATCACCGTGGTAACATCTGCTGAACACATAACCTGGTCAGGAGTAGGTTATATTTAGCTTCAGTTTAAAATTGGCTGCAAGCACCACATTATCACTGACTCTTTATTCACAATAAAAAGAAAAGAAAAAAATCTCTGTGTTCTCTATACATGCAAACTGTCGAGCAGTACCTTATTAACACCGCAGAACAAAACAGCAAGATAGCTGTAAATTACTGTAAGTAATATTAACACAATTTTAAGAACAACTACTCATGCACTACATAAAGTTACTTATACATTACTTAAATTTAATTACAGTATATTTATTTCTCACCTCCTTAGTAAACCTACCTTTAAGTATCTGTAAGTAAATTTAATTATATTGTGATTTCAAATAAAATGCATCGAAATTCCATTTAATTACAGGACAATTAGTCACAGGCCGAATTATAAAGTGTTACTGAGTAATCCACTGATGGCTGTTTCTATAAGCATGCTCCAGCTGCTAAAAGATAGATACACATTAAGACTGCACTGCAATCAATAGCACTAATGGAAATTTAAAAACTGATCTATGCAACTTTTTCTGCGCTGTTCTATAAATACTTTGTCTGGAGTAATCTTAGATCTCCTTTTTAAAATGGATGGTTCAGTTCAGTTGCCTCAACTTGTCCTCACAGGGGACCAGCACTGTCTGACAGGCTGAAAGACCTTTTTACAGAAGGAAAAATGTATTCTGTGACAGAAGAAGACTCACACACAGTTCCAGCTTTTGCATGTGACTCAAAGATCACCACACTCGCCAGTTCCCTCTTCACCTGCAAACCAAAACAAACTGCTTCAAAACTCTTGGATTTTGCTGCCCTGCAGACAAAAATGGAAACTAAACAAGAAGATGCCCAGATCAAGGTTTTTAAAGGTTATAAAAAGTGACCTGAAAGTAGGTAAATTACTGTTGCCAATATAATCTCTGTAGTTATTACAGACCTATTAATGGTATAATACACATTTCCACATGGCAGTAATGTGATTGCATAAACGAAAAAAAAGAACAACAAAAGTACTTCTGGAGCCTGTACACATTTAATTAATTCTGCGCATGGAAAACGCCTGCAAGCACAGGACAGACTGAGCACCACACTGTCGAGATAAATAGTATAACAGCTTCTTCTTCTTCCATTTTTAAACATAAAAAGATTGTGATCTGGGGTTCTGATGTATTAACAATGTTCTTGGCATCTTGTACTGTATATAAAAGAGTGGCACACCAGCTAACTCACAGTGTTGGAGAGGTGAGCTAAGGCCTTGATGTGAAGCAACTCGTCATAGATGATCTCTAGGTCATCGCCTGTTCTCTGACCAGGCCTGCAGACACAAAGGAGCGAGTCACAATGCAGTCACCATAAACACTTCATGCATGCACATCAATAAAGTTACTTATGACAGATGATCTCTGCCTATTCTTTCACATGCTTAGTACTTTATATGAAGAATGTTGGTATGACTGGATATGACTGGGTTCAATTAGCGAACACTTCAGCACTCTGGTATCGGAGGGGAATGTTAATTATTGGATAAAAAGCAACAATATATTGCCAGATATTGTTGCTTTTAATGTATTTTGAATCTGTATTTCAAGAGTAAATGATAATACTGACGATTTCCTGAGGATCATGCGCAGCAGTGCATCGGGGCCAATCTGGGCAAGAAAGAGGATGGTCTCCGGCAACTCTTCCTCACTTTCCCTCTTCTCCTCCTCACTAGGTAACGGTGTGTCCTCCTCCTCATCGTCAAGAAAACGGTAGAAGAGGTATTTGTCATAGAAACCGAGCTCCTGGTCCACTGGAGAGCAGAGAAGCACACACAGTCAAAGCATCAGTATAAACGAGCGTGCATGCAGATGAACTGTTTTCTCATCTCAGAACATTTCAGCCTTGTTCTTTGAAGTGAAGGACTTTGAGATTGGATTCAATTTATATGTTATATTCATGCTTGGAAACTCATTAATTCTTACTCTAGCATTCAAAGAGAAAGCCTCCCTGATGATTGATGTTTAGATTCAAAACTCACATTCCAGCGCAGAGCCAAATGGAGACACACTGGCTCTAGTCTAAAACTAATTTGCAATTCAAAGTTTCAATAACACTTTATTCTAATTTACGCTCTAAACGATAAGTTACGCATGGAGTGTGAATAACGTCTCCCAGCTTTTCAGCTGCTTTGAGGTTTGGGAATTGACTTAGTAGGTTAAGATGACTCACGGAAAGAAATGAACCCAAAGATATGCATGATGAGAAACATCAGACTTAAGTATTACCATGATTTAGCACCCCTTCTTCTAGTAGTGCCTGCCACATCCCGACAGCATGGGAGCGAGTGAGCACACAGGCGCTCTGCAGCACCAGCCAGTCCACCAGCTCTGTGCCTACACAGCACTGTCTGCAATACACATGTAAACACACTGTTTACTGTATATTTACTGTGGGGAGGTTTAAAAATACTTAATGTAATTTTCTGTAAATCAACACCACATCCACAGAAAGCTTCCCCAAGCACTTGCAAGCACATAATTTTTCAGAAATACAAACAGAACTGCAGACCCACATACCTGTATGTCTTCAGGTGATACTTCCTGTCTCGAATCATGTGAGGGGCTCTGGACAGGATGGCGTTGCGGAGAACCTTTCCAGCTCTCTGCAGCTTCTCTGAGGGGATCTGCAGACCACAGGGACATCGGCTTAGGTGACTTCATCTAGTCCATCTAAATCTCTGACTGACTAGATTGAGATTTTTTTGTAAAATAGGCTGTGATAGAATCCATCATTTGATTGTTAATTTGGTTGGTCAAGCTTTAAGTGGTGTGTGTTGGCAAGAAGAAGTTTGGGAACCATTATTTATCCAGGATTGTGGTCCGATCGCAATCTGACTCAAGTAAGAATCCACAGTTGTTTCTTTATTGGATACACTGAGTAGTCACTCACAGTGCACGCCAGGAAATGAAATGAATTTAGTAACTTGTTTAGCAGCAACAATAACCATCTGATGTTTCCTGTAGCTTCTGCACGGTGATGAAGAGTCATTTTGGAGCCTCGCGCCCATAAACTGCTCTTGCTCATCGATATTTATGGGACATTTTGGTTAAACAGCCACAAAATCTCAGTTTGCTTAAGATCAGAACACGAGCATTCCAACAGATAAATTCTCCTCTTGTTAAAGCACTCTGATGTTGACTTACCTTTGTATTTTGGTACATTGTATTGATGCAGTACTCAACCTTAAAGTTAGAGTGTTTAAAATATCACCAATAGATGTCCACAGATTTCTGTTAACTGACTTCTGGTTTCTTACCCCTCCCTATTTAAATACATAATCATACACAACTCTATGACACAACACCTACGACTTCTCTTTTCCTCTACCTTTGTTGTGCTACATATGTATATGTATATGTATATGTGTATAAAATGCAATTATTCAGGATGGCGATGTCCATCCTGGCCACTGTATTCAGGACAGCTGGGCAACATGGCGGCTTCCACAAACCATTGCCCACCTTTATGTATTTTTAATGATTTAATTCTAATTTTATGACAATGCATCTGTTTTTTGGACATAATCACACACTGATCAAATATATTTATGAGTACAATGTTCTTTTTTCTATTAAATAAAAGAAATTTAAAAATGGTTGACTGCACATTGTAGTGTCATGTCATGGCCTACCGCCCTCACATTCTCATGTAAAACTTTTAGTAATAACATTTTTAATTCCTTCTTGTTCCCCTCAATGCTGGCAAGCCGACCAAGCGTTCAGCTAGCAAATTAGGCCCTAACATGATGCTCCCTCCGCCATGCTTCACAGTTAAAATCTCATTAATTGAGAATGTGATTTTGAGTAGCACAGAACAAGTAGCACTTAGAATTCAGTAGCCTTGTTGTGTGTGCAAAAAATGCCTGACATCAGTTTGCTTATATTGCGTGTCTATAATCATGATTTAGACAAAGATCAGCTCAGGTTTTATGTTTAATCAATGCAAAAAATTCCAAATAATTCACAATTTTTTTCTTACAGCGATATGTGAATGTGTACATGGGCAGATTCTGAATGCTGCTCATGTAAACTATGGATCACTCAAACAGTAAAACTGTATCAAAACACACAGGACATACAAGCAGACACATCCTTTATAGGCCGCACCTGCATAGACAGCAGGGGAAATGACAGATGTGTGTACACACACACATACACATACACATCTGCTTCTGAAAACAACAAAGGAAGGCATTTTAATTGGGCAGATGGGATCTTTCTTCTGTGTGCATGCATTATCTAACATTAGCATAACTACAGAGCATCACAGCTGTGAGTCATCATCGGTCTCTTCTCAGAAAATACACGCACTTCCAAAATTCATTCTGGCACTCTGGTTCATTCACAAACATGAAAGTATGCAGCGTTAAAAACAGCTCGATTTTATGACCCCCGTGGCCCGGTTTACCACACGTTTCCAAGAAATATTCAAGTTACTTTCAGTTTCGGATGTTAACAAAAACAAAACATTGAGCTGATGTAATGATTACTTATTTTTACTTATTTTACTTACGTATTTGAATTAACTGCATCTTTTTAATTTCAATTATGATCACTATCAGGTTTTTATGTATCTACCCTTCAAGTTGCAAACAGTGGCTCGAAAACTGGGAAAATGGAAAAACAAGAGTCTTAACTGCACATTTAAATGTATAAAGGTTTTAACCTGAAAAATATTTAAGTTCAAAATGCATTAATAGCATTGCTTCAAACATTAAAAAATACACAACTACTGCTCAGCTGTTCTAAATTTGTCTAGAAACTTCTGCTTAGAGATATTTTGACAAGCAGTGACAAAAGTGGGTTTTTTAGTCAGGTTATGATGGTCTAGAGTTTTGTTAAGTCATGCTTTCTGTAACTTAAGGCCGGGTCTGTTTCTCATTATTTAGTTACAGTAAACTAATCTAAGAACTTCATTTAGGTTGAAAATGTAATCCAGAGGAAACATTTACCTTGTTGTGAGCTTTGTTTGCAGAGTCTGAATTCATGTTGTCTTTGTCTGTGAGTCCTGAGGAGAAAAACACATTAATGCTAAAGCACAACAGGATGCTCTGCTTCCCAAAAGCAAAAAAGCACTGTATATCAACTAGAAAAAAAGAAACATAACAATTTTATATTTACATATACACAATATAGACTCATCCATCCTTTTAACAGGCTGGGAAGGAAAAGACCTGCTTCCTGTTTTTAGTCATCATACAGAAGTCTCCATCTTTTTTTGTGCATCTCCTGCACATTTCCAATTTATTACTTGCAATATGTTTGTACGCGTAAAAACGTTCATTGAATAAACATTTAAGCAACACCCAGAGTGTCTTTTTCTATTCCCGTGTCTCCACTTGTGCATCTACTCACTGTCATTGTTGGATCCACTCTCCATGGCTCCATAAGGAGGGGCCAACAGTGCAGCCAGGCTCTGACGATACTTCTAAAAAGCAACACACATCAGAGGCCACATCAGCCTTGGAAACACCTCTAGCAGGGTATCATCTTTAAAGCACCAACATCTTTTAAACATCAAAACCCATTCCTGTTCCATCTCTCTCTCGCTAAAGCGCACAATGTTGCTTGAACACAAAAGCGCCCCTCAAAACAAAGCCCTTTGTACAACCAAGATCATTTACATGCAGAACAACATTATATAATACACACACACACACACACACACACACACACACACACACACACACACACACAGCATGTAAACAAGGGTTAGACTGCTTTGATGTGTGCAGATGCTGTTCTTACAGCTGTACATTTCTGTAGCAAAGACTATGAAACACACAGAGCCAGAGCTTTTGTGTCTGAATGTGCCACTGCTCTTCTGCAAGGTCATTATCAAGCAACCCATGCTTTCTGACAACTGCCAGGAATACACACACACACTGGAAGAGAAACAGAGACAGCATCTGTTTGACCTAAAGACACAAACGCTCCCCTATCCGTGTTTTTCTTGCACACACTCGATCCAGAAGCTAGTGAAGCTAGAACACTTCATGTCAATACTAAAAAATGCACAAACGTGATTCCAGAGAGTTTCATTCTGTAAAAAGACAACAACAGAAAAAAAAAACATACAAGCAAAGATTATGCACACTACATACTAGACACAGTTAAAGTCAAGGAGTCCAACTCACCTGAGTTAACACACTCAGCTGCTTAAGACTGAAGGGACTGAAACCCCAGAGAGCTGCCCTCTGCTCCTTTACAACTCACGCACACGCCACCGGATAGCATCCTGCTCAAAACAAGCTGCTCTTTTCCTTTTTTTCTCCCCTCTCTCTTCCTCCCTTCCACTCACACAGTCGCCCCACTGTCTGCCTCCGTCTCACTCACCCTCTCTCACTGCAATCACGCCAGAAACCAAGCCACTTTCTCTCACAGGTTACCAGGGTGATTCGAGTCTCTGTATTACTGAGCTACTCTAGTGTAGGAAAAGGGGCTAGTAGTCAGAAAAGGGAAAGGCAGAAGTAGTGTTGAAGAGGAGGAGGAAAGGAAGGAGGCTAACAAAAGAAACGTGGCCAATAGAAGAGAGGGGAAGCTGGCATTAGAAATGTAGAGCAGGTGAAAAGGGGCACAGGAATAAATCAGAAAAGAGAAATGAAGTAACCACAGTCCAGACAAACTAATTATTAGCAGTAATTGTTACATATAAAAACATGTCTGTAGGCTATTTCCCATTCAAACACTTTTTTGATCTCGATTTTACTAGAATTATGGAGCAGCGCTTTTTTTCTTTCATCCTTTCATCAAACACATCCTGTAGCTTTTTAGTCTCCACCACAAGCACACGTACACAAATTAGTCCTTGCACACGGGCACACACATAAAACACAGAGAGCCATATTTTGGAGATAAGATTAGGAAAAAAACAAAACAAACAAAAGACAACAACCTCAGGCCATGTTTTCTGTTTTATGTCCACTGTCCTTAAAATAGACAGTCGAGAGGGAGACAGAGTGCACTTAGTCAAAAACACACGCACACACACTCTACGAGCTGAATAATACGATGGCACACATCACTTTAATAACCAATTATTGTCTTATCTAGGTCTCATGTGTTCCTGTAGCACAAAATGGAGGAATCACATTTGAGTAAATTGAATTTCAATTCATCCACGGTCACACGGGGAAAAGTCTTTTTTATTTTTTTAGACCAGATAAATCAAAACAATGTGATCGATAAAATTGTTTGTGAGAGGGGTCATAAAATCTGATTTAAAAGCCAAAAAACACCAGACAGAAAATAGTTATTTTTTATAACCAAACTGTCAATTACCTGCAATTTCATTAAAAATAAGAACCATCAAAAAAAACTACTGTTTTCTCACAATCACTGTATGGAGATGAGAACCATAGTGTGGGTCGGAAAGATTCTGGATTCTGCAATACAAAATAACCACCTGTCAGACCAAACAGCAGCTCAGACCACACAGCCTTTCATTGTGAGGTTACAGTGAAGTGCTGCCCAGCTCTGCCACGACTTCCTCTCTGAGAGAGAAACAGTGAATGGAGCTTGTAACTCCAACAAGGAGGCCCACGGAGAGGCATCTACTACAAAGCCAAATCTCTCGGGGCAAGGCTGTGTGAGTGTTCGTACTAGTAGGTTGTGCGATATAGTAACTCTTTGCAACTGACTGTGAGCTTTTACATCATTTGTTATCAAATCATATTTTTATTTTATTTATAAAGCACACAAAGCTGACGCAGGAGGGTCACACAATAAAATGCCACACACACACACACATCAAACAACAAACCATCACTTTCAGTACTTTTTGTTCATCTTTACGCTAAAGATACTTGATAATGACTTCGGCTGTCTGTTTGGGGTCGTCGTTCTGCTGCAGAATACATTTGGGGCCAATAAACAACCATTCATATTTCTGAAAGCATTCTTTGTTTACAGCTTTTTTTTCCACACTTGCCTAAAACTTTCGCACAGTACTATAATGAGATCAAAGCTCAATATCTGGTATTACCAAATCTATTACTTGCTATTGCTGTTGCATTGAAATCTGATGATTCTTTTCAGTTTTAATAATTCCATCAGTGCTGACAAGATCCCCACACCACTGGCTGAAATGTAGCCCCAAAACAATGCCAGAGCCTCCACCATGTTCTTCTGTAAGTTGGCATACTTCAGCTTAATTTTCCTGTTTCCCTTCCTGAAGAATAACTTCTTGACTTACCTTCTCCTTCTCTTAGATCATTTCTGATGAAGCTGCAGATAACTCAGCTGAAGGGTCTGAAGCATCTCTCTGGTCCTGCGCCAAGTTTTTGACATATTTGTTCTTAAGGACATGACTTTCCTATAATATAACATATCTATAGTTTAAGCCTTCCACTTCTTCTTTAGTCCTCCACTTGTCCAGTTTCCTCAAAATTTCTTAAGGACAAATTTCCCACCAGGCTAAGATCTACCAAGATTTCAGCTAATACCTCATGGGAGTCACTTTATTGGTGCAAAAATGCTAATGCTAATTTTTGCTATTTGCCCAAACATAGCATTTAAAATAGATTCTTTGCTAAGTTGTATTTTGACACAACACTGATTCATTCATTGAGTTCGCTGCTTTTTTAATACTTCATGTATTTGATTCTTATTCTTAACAAACAAAGAAAAAAACATGGAAATAGTAAAAGGACTGGACTGAGAGTGAATTTTTAAAAAAAAAGCAGCCAATAGCCAAAGAAAAAACATTGAAAGAACTTCAGAAAGTCTCAATTTAACAACTGGAAAATAATCTGGCTCCTTACATAACTAAATAAATAAGGGGTGGCTCAAGACTTTTGCACAGTAATATCAATATTATTTCCCTTGCCTAGTGTATAGCCTCTTGTGTATGATCTTTTCATGTTTAAATATCTTTATGAATACTCAGCTTAGATGAGAGTGTAAAATAAGATTGCATATATTATCACATTACCACTCATTATTTAGTTACTGAATATACAGTATATGGTATTATGGCTACAGCCTATCCTAGCTGTCACTTTGCAAAAGAAGGAGAAACACCCTGGACCAAGACACAAAGACAGACAACCACACTCACATTCACATCCCTCGACCTCCTGTGCATGTAATGTGCTGTGGTAGGAAGCCAGCATGTCAGGAGAGAATCCATGCAGTACACAAGGAGAGCATGCAAACTCCACACAAGCTGCGTAAATCACTTTTTAAGGGAAAACATACTCTGAAAACTTCGTAAGCATCTTCTGGTTTCTTAAAAGAATTGTCCTTGGGCTTTTTGTTTTGATGGCTGCCTCACTGGAGAAATGTGACAGTTCATCCAAGGCAGAAAACTGTATTTCAGACATGCAGATACAGATCACTGAATTACAGTACGTCCTTTTGTTTGTGGCCTTGTTATTGCAGGAATCTGTGTAACCTGCCTAAACAGAAAATGTAATGGCATTTTTGGGACTTTATAGTTAGTTTTACATAGTTTTATAGTTTTTTAGTTTAAGAAACCAAAACTATTATGCATATACATTAAAAAATTGTACCAATTCAAACAGATTAACCTCTCTACAGCAGCTTAACAACATTTAAAATGTCCTTAAAATCATCGTTTTAATAATTCTCAGAATTAAAATATTTTGTTATTAATTTATAGGCTAAAGGAAATCTGAGAATACCTTTATTTTTCCAAGTAGGAAATGTGAATCAAATTAAAAGAAATAAAAAAGGAATCATTTAACTAATCGTGTTTAGATTTTTCTCACTGTTCTCACTTTAAATAAATCACTGTCAAGTTACCCGAAGTGTGCAATAGATGTGCAAAAAGGCACCGTAATGGTGGACAGCCCTCTTGTGGTTAAAAGCACAATTACAATAAAAGTCTCAAAAGCAAAGCTCTTTCCACAATGGAGTTCATGCAGAATCATGAAGTTTCATCTCATGTCACACCTCCCAGAGAGTCTTAAACTCCCTCTGTTCGATCCGGAGCAGCTCGCTGGTCTCTCTGCTGACAATGGTAGCGTGGCGCGGCGTGTTGTCCAGGATCGACTCCCCAAAGGCTGTCCCAATCCCCAGCGTGCAGATTGTGACTGCATCCTGCACACAGACATGACAACTTTTAGTTACTGTGTTTCTATAACAGACGAGCATTTGTTATTGAGCAAACATGCTTTGTAGCAGCATTCACTATGCTGCTACAAAGCAGTGAAATTATACAGCAGTAGCTACAAGCAATGTGTATTAGGTTATTTTAATGAACTCGGACAGACATGGAAAGCAGACGGATTAATATGTGCAAATGAATGCAAATAAATCCAAATATGAGCAACTGCTGTTTACTGTAAGACAAACGTCTCTTGGTGCTGTATATAATTGGGTAGGCTAGAGGGAAGCAATGGACGCATATTCACTGCTTAGTGGTTCAAACAAATACACTGCTTGCTATGGAAACCTTTTCAGCTGTCCAAGCTGACATTTCAAATATAGCCACAGAAAGTAGGCCACCAATTTCACTTTAGGGCTACATACATGAAAAGGATGTCTCACAATAGAGGAGCTTCTTATCGCCGTCTTTCTTTCGAAGCAAATCCTCTCTCCTTCTCCTCCCACGTGTCATTCTTCCCCACTACATGTATAGTATAACTCTATTTCCACGCTCTCACAGCGAGGGTTTAAAGTAAGGAGGAAGCCAAATTTCTCAGTGGCAATTTCTCTCTGGTATATTTAGGAAGGGAGGTACAAATGGAGGCTAAAGAGTCAAACAAATTCAGCTCTCAAACATACAGGACAGAGTAGAAGCCCCTTAAAAAGGATCTTGTTTGATAGAAAATATATGAGAGCACTAGGAAATATCAACCATGAAAGTAACATCACCAATCCAAAAGCATCCAAGTCATTATTCATGTATGTTTCTCAATGTGACTCTCACCTGGTGGTTAGCGGTTTCTGACACTTTGACATCCAGGGAGCCAGAAAGGACTGCATACCAGCTGGTGCCAATGTCTCCCTGTCGAAACACTGCGTGCAGTAAAATACATTAAACCACATTAAGAGCTGATGAAAAACGTCACTAAGACAAAAGCACTCATAAAAACATGCCCTGCCATCTGATGATAAACCACAATCACTGCTGAAAGAGACATCAGCCAAAAAGGTTTTGATACAATGATAAATTGATAATAAATATATTTGCAATAAACTGAAATGTGATTGAAAAGGTTATAAATGCACCTAAAAAGGAAAGCGTTTTAAATATTTTTATCTTTAACTGAAAATCAATTGACTTGAGCTCAAATAAGCAAAACGCTGACAAAACGCTGGTGTTAAAGTAGCTACATTAAATATTGTCTTGATTTTGTGATCATTAAATTACACTACTATAAGTAGTATACTGGATATAGGTCCACAATTTGTTGGACAAAGACATAATTTTTGCAGTTTTGCTTCTCTACGTCACTGCAGTGAATCTTAAATCAATCAATCGTGGTATGACTGAAGTGCAGACTCTCAGCTTTAATTTGCATTAACGGTAAAAAGACAGTTTTATTTATAATCCCCCAATTTCATAGACTTATATAGAATTAATTGGACAAACTAACAGGATTTTAAACCCAAGGATTGTTTTTAACACTTGGATGAAAATCCTTTGCAGTCAGTGACTGTGTGGAGTCTACAATCCATAGATGTCCCTTCAATGCTCTGCTTAGGTCTTTGCTGCAACCACCTTCTGTTGCTGCTTGTTTGTGGCTCTCTCTATGACTTAAAAGTCTCCAGCAACTGTAAAGCATGCGCTGTTGTGTTGAGATCATGTGACTAACCTGGCCCGTGAAGAATATCCAGTTTCTTTGCATTGAGAAACTCTTGGGTTGCTTCTGCAGTATGCTTTGTTTCATTATCTATTTGCACTGTCGGGTCAGTTTTGCAGCATTTTTCTAAATCTGAGCAGAGAGTACAGCCATGTACACTTCACAGGTCATCCTCCATCCATCATCATCTATCATCTATCAGCAGTCTCACCATCAATAAACACTATAATGACCCAGTTCCACTGTCAGCCTTATGTACCCATGCCCTAACATTTTTTAGATGATACACCTATTCCTCAGGAGTGTCCTTGACTTGGCTAGAAGTTGTTTTTCATAAGCCTTGATTATAATCCATTGTGAATACAGACACAGGCAGCTGGAGACCCAGTCACAAAAAACAGGCAGGATGCATACACGGACCCTTGCGCTCATCTTCTGATGATGAAATTTGCTTAAATCACTTGGACTCTCTCAGACTCATGGATGCAGGAAGTATAACAGAAGCTTTAACCATAGAAATACTTCTATCATAATCCATTTTAATTGCCCTCTGTGGTCTTTTAGGCCTCTCGGTATCCTGAGCTGGTCGTTGCAGTCCTCCTTTTTAAGAATACACCACATTAATACTTTGGCTACCCCTAAAGTTTTTTCTATCACTCTGACAGACAAAGCAAAACAAAATAAAGCTAATGATGGCCTCCCTCACTGGCACTGACATCTCTTTGGGCTTCATATTTAAAATGAATGTGAAAAGCTATAAAATGCAAATTCAAGACTTTTAATCAAATCCAGATATTATGTCTGTTTAATTTGTCATGAAATTACATGAACAGGCCCTACTTGGCCATGAAACTGCTTTTCGGTGAACTGTCCAATTAATTTTGAGCCTCTGAAAACGGGGGACTGTGAATAAAAAACGTCTGTAATTCCTAAACAGCTGACATAATATTTTTGTTAAACCCACTGAATTAAAGCAGTGCTTCAATCACATATTGGCTGATTGATTTAAAATCCACTGCTTGCAGAAAAATCAAAAAGACAAAGCATGAAGTCCAAAAGGAAAACATATAAAACAGACTGGATCCAGGAAACAGTAGGGCAAGAGGAACAGAGTATTGGGAGGATGCCACTGTATATACTTACTCCTGTAAGTATATCGTATACTTATAGTATACTTATACTTATATAGTGGTATCAGGGAAGTGGAGAGAGCTAGGGAAAATGATACACAGTTGAACTAAATCACAGAGGATGAGGCAACATAAGCAAAAGTAAAAGCAAATACAAGGAACAATTAATAATATTAATATTAGTATTGCACAAATTAGTTAAAAACAGGCATTGAAGAAGGTTAGGCACATTTTTGCATTCCAGTGCATCGTAAGTCTTACTGCGCTCTCTCCTTAGGAGACAAAAAGGTATATTATATACTGTATGATGATTTCCTCCAATCCTTTAGAGCCTGACTAAACTCAACAGCATCAAAGACATCCTTTTACATTCCTGTCAGTATTGTGGGTTTGTGAGCGTGCGTGTACGTACACGTGATGCCTTTCTCCAGGCATTCATAAAAGGCACAGGCACAGATCTGCAGTAGGAGCGGAGGTGGGAACCTCTGGAAGGCTTTGACCTCTCTTAGTCGGGTCAGAATAATATCCACGTCCTCTCCCGAGCGCTCCGCAGGCCTGCGCAGAGGAAGAGCCACCATTAAACCCACACGAGGCATTAAAAAGGTGTATAAGGGGTTATGCAAGAAACAATTGGCATGATGTAACTTGTTCAGTGTGATGGATTATCTATCTTATTCAGGTCTATTTCAGCCTGAACTATAGCAAATCAATCAAAACCCTGCAGTATGCTTTCACTAGCAGTCATGTTAGACAGTTGCAATTATCAGTCAATGGACTAAACTGTGAGAAAGCAGCGATATTGCCCTTTAAGTAAGAAGGCTGCTCTATTGTTATAATATTATCTATGAATATTTGTGCGAGAGCACGCTGTCATTGTTCTGCCTGGTGTCTTAGTGATAACAGTGAAGAGCTGCAGGCACAGTTTCTCTCAGCTCAGGCCCCCCACAGGCTGTTGATGTAAGATCTCATTTGTACTGCTGCTTTTTCTAATGCGCTTAAATCTGAGCACACACACACACAACTAAGTCATTGTTGGACATCTAAGCAAGCACACACAAGAGACTGCACGCACGCACACACACAGAAGTTTGATCTGCGAGCTTAAACAGTCTGTTCTGAGACGTGGTGGTGCAAAAATACCAAGCCAAAATGTCTCAGAGTAACACACTGCACTTAGCACCATTCATTCACTTATTTTCCCCTTCTTTCCTGATAGTGACTCATCTTTGCACGTGTGTGTGTAAGTGTCTGTGTGTGCATATATGTGTGTGTTCATACAGAATAGCTAATGCACTGTGGGCTCTTCCTTCACAGATGAGAGCCTCTCAGTCCCCTCTTCTGCTGCATCTCCTTCCTCTTCCCTCACTCCCAGCCCTCGCTCCTTTCTGTCTGCTTCTTCTAAACCTTTCTCTAATCTCCATCTACTTTTCTCTTCTTCCTCTTTCAAGACTTGCCAGTTTTTAGAACATGATAGCCAAGACTGAAAGGGACAAATGCAACCCATTTTTCTCCTTTTCACTAGAAGCACAGATTCCTGGTGCATTTAGTGCCACCACTTACACATACCAAACGCCCTATTTATCCCTTTACGTCTGCTCCGCAAGCTCAAAGGCAAGAGTGACTCCCACTTTACTCACATGTAGGTACGTATGGTAATAAACGCCGAGCACGTGTGTCACGAAGCAATGAAATGTACCTGTACCGTGTACCTTGAAGGGTTTGCCACAATAAAAACAGATCAAAGGCTGCGTTGCACAGCCCATCTTCTATTCCCATATCAGCCACGAGCTCAGAGCTTTGAAAGGTGGGTCTTTTTTTCCCTCTCACATTCTTTCTTTCTTTTTTTTTGGTCTCTGACTCATCCACCTAAAGCTCATGTATTGGCCCTTGGTGCTTCAACAGGGTGTCATATCCCAGAGTAGGCTGGGTTAATGGTTGAGACAGGTGGGCTCCCACACACTACGACAGACAGGGAGAGACAGGGAGGTGAACTCTGCAGGGTTGAATGGGTAATACAAACACCACCCTTCACATATGCGTCTATAGTAAAACTGTTGGGCTGTGTCAGTTATCGTCCCCTGGTTAAGTCTTCGCCCTTTCCCTTTTGTCCATTAACCTGTGCTTGCTCACTCACTTCCTGTCGGGAGGAATCTGCCTCCCCCGCTGGTGAGAGAAGAATATGACCTGAGAGTTGTTCACCTTCTATCACTGTCCCTTCATGTCTCCTCTCTTCCTCGACCTCTTCCTTTTGTCAGCCTTCCCCTCTCCCTCCCCCACTATTCGTGTCAGCAGAGATCTCAGCTTTCAAGCACAAATTATGGCGTGTGCGAATACGCACACACACAAACAAAGGATTAACAAATCGACCAGCGTGACACACTGAAGACAAAAACCAAGAGACAGCAGAAGGTCATGCAGATTGTTTCTTGAAACAACCATCTGGAAAAATTCACTGTTCACAGACAAATAAATCAGAGGTTGATTTGTGGCCGCCTGTCAAAGTGCCACACAGATTCAAAACAAACAGATTTATTCGCCTGGTGGATTAATACATTACTGCAACACAGATTATGTGATTGTATGCAAGAACCTCTTCTGACACTCATCTGCATCACCACTAACAACCAGAGATGGTGTTAAATCACTGAGCAGCATAAACCCTGCTCACTTTGCATTCAAATGACCAATTAGAGTTAGAAATGACTCATCAAGTTTTGCAAGATTTGCAAATTAACCTACATAATACGCACACTTATACTTTTCACCTATGAGGAATTGCTTTTGCTAAGACTTACTACTTTGATATGTCACCCTAGTACTAGACAAAAATATTTTCCTGCAATAAAAAAGGCATTAAATATAAACTTGGATCTGGCTTGGTGCTGTGTGTACGTTGAGTGCACCATCTATTTAACTCCTGGTACAACAGAAAACAAAGCAAATAAGATCTTATCCCACATACTTCACAGCCACTGGCAATAAATGTCTTCGGACAGATATATTACAGACAGTCGTATCTTAACCTCTGTCTTTCTTTCACCTTCCTCCCCTCTCTGCCTCTCACTCCTCACTTGCTCACATCAACAGTTAACATAGATGAAAGCTCCCAAACACACATACACACACTCCTGGATATTGATTGAATAAGAGGTGGATAGCTTAAAAGCACTGAGTGCTCTACAGTAAGATCCTGCACAGTCTTTATGAACATCCAGCTAATACTGCATACTGGTGACTTTAAGTTTCCAACATAATTATTCTAGCCTTAATTTCAGTAGATGTTTTCAGCACTGACTTAAACAGAAAAAAACAACAACATTTTGCACGTTTATTTTATGAGATATGTGAGCAGGAGAAGGACACACTCAATCAAAACTGCAAACAGAACACAATCGTTAAACTTGGGAAACCAAATTTATTTGCAGTGTTTCTGTGCTAGACCACCAAGCTAATGGCTTATGCCAAAGAGAAGCCCTCTTAAATAGGGAGTGGCTGTAAGTCTGCAACCAATCACATTCCCCATTTGCTCACCAGACCACAGCAAAGATCACAACACCCTTTGAATTTTTACAAAAGCATAAGCTACTTTGAGCAAATTGTTCAAAATATGTGCAACTAAAACTGAAGCAATCTGGAACTTAAACAATTTCTAAATTATTACAGATTGTAAAATATATTTAAAGGCGTCAGCATCTCGAGTTGACTATTGGTGGTAATGTGTCTTTTATGGTAACAACTCATTGATTTTTACACTGTAAATCTGAAGATGCCAACTGGGCTTCTGGAAAGCTACGAGGCCGTTCTCACTAATTTCTGACAATTTATATTCAGATCAATTACTCGCCAAAATAACCCAAGGACTAATTAATAGTTAAACTGGTTAAAAAGTATAATGCCGTGTTGTCAGTACCCTTATCAGTGACTAATAGTTGCATTTATCCACTCAGTTTTATTCCAGGTGAGGATTAGGAGACAAGATGGTTGCTTCAGGTTGCCATTGGTAATGTGAGGATGTGTCAGATAGGTGTGTGTGTGTGTGTGTGTGTGTGTGTGTGTGTGTGTGTGTGTGTGTGTGTGTGTGTGTGAGTGAGCTGTGCTGTGCATGTCATATATGTCACTGCCTATGATCTAGAGTAATTACTGTAGTGCTGCTCTTCATCATGTTTATTTATTCGAGCCCTCTCCCTGAGCTTTTTCAGCACAGTAAGGGAGCTTTGCTGTTAATTGGGCAGGCACAGTGTGGACTAAACGATTTTCTAATCGCTGCAGCTTTTGAATTGTTGAGCTGTTGATAGACAAACTGTGAATTGGATGTTCGGTTATTCTAATCTGTTCAGTCAGCCCAGACTAACGTAGCCTCATGCAGCACTGTGAGATAAACGGGAGGAGGAGAAAAAAAATACACTGCCTGCGCTGGCTGGCCTCTAGTATTTTATTCAAATCACGCCACAGTTGTATTTTAAAAATGTATGGCTATTTGATTCAAGCAGGCAGAGATAAACCATGTGCGTCTCGTCATCAGCCATGCAGTGCAGAGACACCACAGTGAACCTCGAAGCCACCAACGCCTTTTTGACCGGAGATACAAAAACAGGAATTTTTTTTAAAACATCGGTGTGTATTGTTATGCACTGCAGTCTGTACAACTGGGCGGCAAGTGGTGTCAATTTAATAACAGCGATAATATACTAAAACAAAATGAGGCGTATCACGTTATTATTGCACAGTCACACACTGCACACGCAGCGATCACCGGTTCCGATTAATCACGTTGACGCGGATGAATGAAAGAGGGCAGAGACGACACAATCGTTGCTGCGTGGGGATGCGCGGCGTGGCACTGGGTCATGTAGTGCTTTCACCCACCTTTTATCCAGGCAGCAGATCCACTCCGCCGATGGGGACGAATTAGGGGACGTCTGCACCGCGACCATCTTCCCCGGCTGTGTGTGTGCGTGTGTGTGTCACTAGACACTGTGATGCTTACCGGAGGAGGGTTCCCGGTTGTCGGTGGTCGTTAATGGTTGTGAGCTCTGACTCCCCCTCCCCGCCCCTCTGCCTCACACAACTACGGGATGTGTGTTCATATATATATACATATTTCTTTTTAAAAACAACACATACACACACACACACACACACAGATATATATATATATATATATATATATATATATATATATATATATATATATATATATATATATATACATATATATATATATATATATATATATGTCTTTAATTAGCTCAGGTCTCTTCAAATGTCACTGCGTGTCAGCATGGGGTGGACCCCAATCTGGGAACCCATTTATTAGTCTGTTAGTCTCCTGCAGAAACCTGTGTATGAAGACAGAAAGGTAATATTGATAAGATATGATAAGGTAAGTTAGCCTTTATTGGTACCAGAAATGGAAATTTCAAGTTGTTAAAGCTGCAAAGTATACAGGGCAGGAATAAATAAACAGATGCAGCATATATAACAACAATAATACTATGCAAAAAAAAAATTTCATAGTGCAGTGGTTGTGTACTGATCAAAACAGATTTTTTTAATTGGGCTGGGGGCATTAACTTTTAATTTTTCCAGCGTAGTGCATGTTTATAGACTTTATACATTGTAGAGCGTTGTTTGTCTCCAAAGCCATTCATAGTTGGTTTTCTTCTTACATCACTGACCTGCTCCAGATTCAAATTTTGCGTGTTTGTCCCCAAACTGTGGAGCAGCAATACCCCCACAATCAGATTTGTTCCTTCTTCTAAGTCTTTTAAAACTACACTTAAAACGAATTTGTATTCATTGGAATTTGTGATTTATGAATACATTCATGTAGTGCTTAGATTTTAAATTAAACATCCAGTAGTGTTAACAGTTGATCTCAGACATTACAGCTATTTTCTTATAACACAGGATAATGCTGGAACAAATATCAAGCATATTCATCAGTTAAACAATCCTCCCAGAAAGCATGATTTAAGAGCAGAGGCTGACATTGTTATTGGGAATTCTTCAGACTCATCATACCCACACAGTGTATCATTTTCATCTCTGATCCCTATTGTGAAAACCCACCCAGGATCATGTATGATTTCATACAAGGAAATCTATGTATTTAGTTTCAAGGGAGTTTGTCATCAAGCAAAGATTTGTGAGACAGCAGGCAGCATGAAATTCACCAGTAATATGAGAAAACGTGATCTTAAAAAAAAGTTATGTTAAAGATTGAAAGCATTTAGAGGAATTTAGGGAATTTCTCCATTTTCACTGACTGCACTGAAAAACCACAGCAGGTCAGACAGAAGGAGGAAGGCGAGAGAGTTACGATCCCATGATGGGCCCTCTTTTATCCCCTCATTCTGGCAACTGATAATATTAACTCTATTGCATCAGGTTAATTACAACGTCTGAATGTGTGCACCTGTTGAAAGTGTGTGTGTGCGAGTGTGCGCATGTGTGTGCGCGCAATTGTTTACGCTTGCCTTAATGCATCTGTTTAAAATGGCACTTCAACACGCATGAGAGTAATACTGGAGGGTGAAGGAAATTTTCACCAGACTGTGTGTGTGTGTGTGTGTGTGTGTGTGTGTGTGTGTGTGTGTGTGTGTGTGCCAGTTGTCTCACAAAGGGTAGTGCTCTTTTTTAAATATTTCTTATTTAAAAAAAATGTCTGGAGATTAAAGTTGAATTACAGCTACATAGAGTACATGGAGACCTATTAAGTATTATAGTAGTAGTGGTATTATAACACCTATCACAACCCTATTAAGCATAAGGTATGCTATTTTATGGACAGAGATGTACAATATAACACATTTTATCATAATATCATCTTTATTGAGATTGATACTTTTAAAATAAAACACTGTTGGCAAACACACAGCTGACAGTTTTGTACTGTAAAGCTTATACTCTGGGAAGCACGGTTCAGGATTATTGTTATTGTAGTTTACAATAAATTGCTGGTACATTGGCGGTATCTTTTATGATCTTTCATGTTTGATCTAATGACATCTAAAGGCTTAACTCTGCCATTTATGCTCTTCATACTCATCAGCACAGGATTAGATCTCTATTACTTGTGTTTTTAAAATGAGACATCTGCAGTGTGCACATGCAATACAACAGTATCACTGTGCATATTTATACGCTCACAAGCTGATCTATAAAAACTGCCACCTGAGGGACACGTGAGACTATGTCCCAGCACGGTGTAAAGGGATTCTGCAGTGCAGCGGCACAGCTACATCGTGCTTTGCTCATTTAAATTGACAACTTGTGCGTTCATCCCAGATATGAGTTGAGTGGAGAGAATGTGTGTGTCTGCATTTAAATGCTCAGAGGATAGAAGGCAATTCCCTCATGAAACTGGGAATCTTTAAATATGGCTGACTGAACAGACAACCATATGGGGCAAGGCTGTGTGCGAAATGCAGCCTACACAACAACACACTCAGTCACATGCACACAAACACACAGTCGATACAGTCAACTATTATAGTAAAACCATCTGCCAGTCACTTCTAATTTGTTTAAATAACGATGACGTTGCTGTTTACTAAAGCTGTACTCAATGCTAGGTGTTTCAGAGATAACCAGGGTTTATAAATTTGCAACCCCAATTCCAAAAGAGCTGGGATGTTGTGTAAAACATAAATAAAACCTCAATGCAAATATTTGCAAATCTAGATCTTGATAAACACATATTTTATTCACAATATACCACAGAAAACTTCCATCTTCTTATCCACATCAGGGTCATGGCTGGGCTGGAGTCGATCCCAGTAGTCATAAGGGAAAGAGCAGACTACACCCTGGAGAGGTTGCCAGTCTATTGCAGGCCTAACACAGAGAGACAGACCACCATTCATGCTCACATTCACAGCTACAAATTTAGAATCATCACGTATGTCTTTGGACCATGGCAGGAAGCCAAAGTACCTGCAGTAAGTAACCCACACAGACACAGTGAAAACATGCAAACTCATCTACATCTGCATACCTCACGTGTCTTCACTTAGTTATTTTTGTACTTAGTTATTTATCTTTCATTAATTTTTATCCTTATTTTTATCTTTATTTATCTTAATATCTTGTCTTATATTTATCCTTATTTACCTTGTTCCTTTAACCCTTACCACACAGAGAAATGCTGTTTCTTTTGTACACATGACAACAAACACTTTGAATCTTGAAACTCCACTGATGGATTTGAATCCAGGACCTTTTTATGGTGAGGGAATGTTGCTAACCATCGCACCACCATGCTGCCCCATTGAAAACATATCAAATGCTTAAACTAAGGGAAAAACATTTAAGAAAAAAAATGATATCAGATTCTAGCTGCTCAATGGTCCTGGGTCTTCTTTGTACTTTTTGTTTCATGATGTTTTGAACTGGGGAAAGGTCTGGACTTTTGGCTCAGAAAAGATGGCGGCATTTCTGGATCCTGCTTACATATGGCTTCTTGTACTACATGTACTGCAGATGATAAGATTTTCTAACGTCTTCACGATTTTACATTACAGAACATTATTCTGAAATTGTTCAACACTTTATATATACATTTGTTTTGCAGATTGGTGAACCTCTGCCAAAATTTACTTCTGAGAAACTCAATGCTCTTTTCATACCCAGTCATGTTACTGACCTGCTCCCAGTTAACCTCCTTAGCTGTAAAATATTCCTCCACCTGTTGTTTTTATTTATATTTTAGTACCACTTGCTTTTCTAGTATTTTTCCCCCATCACAACTTGTTTGTGACATGTTAGTGCCATCATTATGATGTAGTGAAATTTGTCAGTTTAAATATTTAACATGTTTTTTATATTCTAGTGTGAATACAATATAGGAGCATGAGACCTATAAATGATGCATTTTGCTTTTGTTTACATTTTACACAACGTACCAACTTTTCTGGATTTGGGGTAAGTCAGAGGGTTAGGGTTAGTTTAGACTTTTTTTTTTAATAAATTGGCTAATATTTTTTTTAAAAATGGATGAATGGATATATAGTTAAAATATGTGCAATAATCCCTACATGATTTTGAAAGGACTATATTCACTGAGGTCATGAAATAAAGCCGTCAGTGCTCTCTGGTGGACTAACAACAGAACAGCTGTACTAATGGTAAATATATGTCCACATCCAATTTCTGTGCTGCAGTTTCATGCTGCATATCCGCTGAAATGTTGGGATACATACTGAAACATACAATCTGTGATAAAGCAACAAAACAGGTGAAATTGAAATAAAAGCTCAATAAGAACAACAAAGAAAATGTGCTGGTGTGTGACAAATCTGTTCTCCAGGGACACTGACAGCAATTGTTTAGCTCCATTTTCCACACTAGCAGCACACTCGCCGTACAGTAGCACTGTCCACAAACCCACAAACACAATAGTACTGCTGCAAAGAGAACCTATGCGTTGGCACAAGTACTGACGGGTCTATTATTGTGTCTAAATTGTAACCGTCTCTTTTTTATGTCAATCTGAGGAGAGAAAGACAGAAACTCCTGTACAAGTCAAGGTGACCTGAGAGCTATCAGCACAAACAGGGCTCTGTATTTCTCATCTTACTTGCGATCAATCCGAAATACTGCTGAGTAAAACAGAGGGGGCTTGCTGTCACTTCACAGCATTTATCATTCCTACAATTTGCTGTTTTCTCTACTCTTCAGTCCTTTACATTTCTACTGCTTCTCACATTCCAGGTTAGATTTTCTGCCTCCATTCTTTGTCTTCATTTACTCTGCCTCGCTCACTTTTCTACCTCTCAAAATTGACTTTCTCGCCCACCGCGACATCACTCCCTCAATTTCCATCTTCCCTTCATTTTCCCTCCCTCTCTTGGTTAGCCTCATTCAGAAGAAGGCTTTTGTGATTGGCCAGTATTTATATCAACTAGGTCCCAGTGCCACCTGGGACAATAGTCTCCTGTCAGATCCAGGTCATAGCA